AATACATTAACAGCCCGCTAGGAGTCATTTGCGGCCCGCAAAGCGCGTGTTTTCAAGAGGGCGGTTTTCAGTTTGGCCGCGTATATTGATAATAATGCACTCTAACACTGACTAAATAAGGGTGTTCGGTGTGATCGTAATTGACAGCTTCTAAGATGAAACGCCTACAAAAAGAACATCTGCTTTGAATAAATCGATCTTGAGAAGGGTAAACAATGTTGAAATGCCACCAAATAAAATCCCTCCCCAAAAGAAATTACTAAAAGGCAGAACACCACATTCACCACTTTCTTTGGTGGTTTGTTTCGTTAAAAAGTAATAAGTAAAGGCAGAGCAAAAAGGCAAGCACTAAAGAACCCTGCCAGTTAATTGTGCCAGTTAATTGCGCATTAACACCCACACAAGGTCGACTTCTGGGCGACAGGCAAAGACATTTTTGTGTGTAACTGCTTTCCCTAGACGGAAACTGCCCTAGGGTTATTTCCATGGATACATCAAAAAGAACAAAAGAACTTCCCATGACGGTTCCTGAACTGAAAAGTACGGCTTATCTGCTCCCTGAGGTGGCTTGGCCAATCATAAAGCAGAACGTAGCTAATACAGGAAATTGCCTGCAGTGCTGTGAGGTGACCTGATGTGCTTGGCTAATTTTGCACCTACTTGTAGCACGAGGTAACATGGCAGGGTTTCGTGCATCGCTGTGAGTATTTCTTACTTTATTTTCAGGAGTTTGCCCTTCAGACTGTCAGTTACAAAGTTGATTAAGTTATAATCTTTCTGTTTATCTGTTTATAGGAACGCTGGTCAAAATGAAGATCCCTACTACAACGGGTATTTTCAAATCAAACAAAGCCGCAGGGAGTTAACTACACCGGTAATACCCTGTATGGTATTGGCATGGCTCAAAATCAGCCTCCACTGCATTATCCAGCGATGCTAAATCCCTACCCGATTTACCAGAACCCTGTACCTGCTACTAGCAATCACCTTCAGTTTGAACCAGACAGGGACAGTGCCAGTCCAAGTCCAAGTGAATCCTCAAACCGAAGTGAAGATCATAACAAGTGCAGTAGCTGGTCGTTGACTGAAGAGAGATGCTTAATTGCTACTTATAATGAGTACTACGATAGCCTTAAGTCCACAAAAAGCAGTCAAGGCAAGAAAACCATATGGGAAGATATTCGGAAGCAGTTTCAAAGTATGTGCTTTGACAATGGTGTGGAGTCTGAAAAGGAGTTAAAGGAGAAGTGGCGAACGCTCTTGGATAAATACAAAAGTGTATGTGATAACAACAATCGCACGGGAAGGGAACGGAAAACATTCAAACACTATAAAGACATAGATGAATTTATGGCTTCATCAGACAAAGTAAATCCAAGATTTGTCAAGGAAACGAAAGCCCACAAACAAGATTGTAGCTCCGATGATAGTGATGATATTTTATCGACCGGAAATCAAGATTGTGGTAAGAAACCAGAGAAATGGCCAACCACCTCTGCTGAAGGCAACAGCGCAGATGTAGAAAAAACTGGAAAAACTGGGCAAAAGGAGGAAAAAGGACAAAAAGAGAACAAGAAAAGGCTTAGCGGCAATGACATGGAGCTAGCAATCCTCGACATGATGAAGTCTCAGCAAGAATCCATCCAAAGATCCGAGGAGAATGACGAGAGAGTTTTTGAAGGTCTCCTCAAATCTCAGGCAGAAGCGCAGCGACAAAAAGAATTTGTTGTGTCTGTGTTAGGAAAACTTGGAGACATATTTGCTTCCAATAAATAGATTTTAACTCAGTGCTTTTATTCCAAAGAAAAACACTAGCACAGTTAACTTGATTGTTGCAAAAATAAATTTTAATTGATCTTGAATAGCATTTTGGACACTGAAAAACACAAAGCTGAAAAATGGTTACAACCGCTGTTTCTTCAGTATAATATACGTTACAGTTTTTTAGCAAACATAATTTTTTTATTTCCTGAGATTATCCTGTGTAATTTCTACACTTTCGATTGATTTTATATTACTAGATATATATTTTTTATTCAATCTGCTATTACTTTCAGGTTCAGATCAATCCGATCAGATATATAATTGCATAAATAAATTGCGAATCAAAATATAATTATTTCGTAACCTTGTATAATTTAGGACGCAATGAGGACAAAATCAAGGGGATACTGCTTATTCATTTGCAACGTATTGAACAAGGGCTTGTAGAAC